AAAAAAAACATTTGCTAAAAATTATAGATTAAAAAAAAATGCTGATGTAATTTTATAAAAAAAAATAACTTTCTGACTAACCGCAAATAATAATTTGTGTGAAAATTTAGAACAAAAAAATCGTAAAAATGATTGAAAAAAAAAAAAAAAAATTTATTGGAGCAAAAGTTGTTTTAACGTTTTTTTTTTTTTTTTTTTTTTTTTTTTTTTTTTTAATTTGCTGTTGCACAATTTGACTATTTAATTACCCGGAGAAAAATTATTTTTTCATTTTTAATATATATATAAAATCATATGAAGCGAAAACAAACAAACAAATTTTTTTTTCATTTTTTTGCTACTGATAATTTAAATTTTTTTAAAGTGTGGGCGCACGTATGAGTGTACCATCAATCTCTCTTTCCCTCTCTTTCTTTCTCTCCCTCTCTCTCCTCCATCTCTCTCACCATTTTTCCCCTCTTAACAAGACCTTAAAGGTCGATATTTAAAAAAAAAAAAATTTTTTTTTAATATAAATACCTTGAAAATATTTTTTTTTGTCGTAAAATTAAAATACATTTTTCGTGCGACATTAGTAGTAGTAGTGGTAGTAGTAGGTAGTTGTCGAGTGTAACATTGTCGCAAAATTGCAAACTTTTTATTAAACGCGTAAATTATATTGTTTTCTGCTACTAATTAATTTTTTTTTTTTTTCTATATTTTTCAGCGTAATTCATGTTAACGGTTACTACTCGCGAGTGTTTTTTTTGTTGTTAATATTATTATTATTATATTAAAGTGTTTATTTAAAATGTGTGTTTAAAAAAAAAAAGAAATTATTTTTCCGTTTAAAAATGGCAGCATTTAAATTTTTAAATTTAATATTAAAACTAAAATATAAAAAATTAATTAACGAGTATTTACACGAGTTTAAAATAAGTGAAAATTTAACTTAATCAATCATCGAAATAATAATTAAATCCATTCGAACGTTGTTTTATAATTCGATGCATCATAATAATAATAATAATAATAATTTAAATACGAACGAATAATTCATATACATATACAGATTTTGCCGGTAACATAGAAATTGATAAAAAAAAATGAAAGGCGGCGAAGAAAAAATAAATAAAACGATTTTATATACGAATAAATCTCATATAAAAGAACGGTTAGTATTACGTTCATCAAGTGTTGATGATAACCGCCACTCGAACGTTGTTGACGACAACGTCGACGACGGCTGTTGCGGCGGTGGCGGCAGCGGCAGCGGCGTCGTCGTCGTCGACGGCGGTTTATGCGAGAGCCAGAAGAACATTTTAAAAATAGATTTTTCGAAACGAACAAATAAATCGGTTAGAATATTAACAGGTCGGGGGCAAGAGTTTCCTTCTTCCCCCCGATCTCCGTCAAACGGAATCTTAAACACTTCCGTCCATTCGAAACGCGAATTTAAATCAATAGGAATAAATAAGAAACCGGAAACGCGGGAAAAAGAACCCAAAAACGAAATATTATCGAGGACATTTTTTTTATTTAAAATTAAAAACTTGATAAAAATATTCACGTATGTATTTATTATTTTTTTATTAATTAATGAACATTTCGAGGGAGTCGAATCGTTTCCCGTGCAAAAATCAATCGACGCGACCGTGACAACGTTAACTAAATTAAATAAAAGTTTACCAAACGAAAGAATTGTAAATAATCGAGGAAGAATTTACGAAAACGGAGGATCGATGGGTAAAAAACATAGGAAACATAATAGTAATAATAATAATAATAGTAATAATAATAATATAAATAATAATAATAATAAAAAACAAGTGAATAAAAATTGTAAAGAATACGATATAACATCGCGAGCCTTTTTATCCGATGTAATATTCGAAGGTACGGCAAGATCAAGATCGAAAAGATCATCCGGACGATACGTAACATTTGTTATAAAAAAAATATTAAAACAAGGTACGAATAATTTGCTTAAACAAAACACACAAATAAGGTTACATTTCGGCGGTAGAACAAACAACAACAACAACAATAGGAAAACAAAACGAATAAATCCGCTGAACGACTGCCCACTTAACAGTATTACAAATGGTAAAAAATCCATGGTCAATTTAAAAGTTGGAGAAAATTATTACGTTTTTGCCGACCATCTTGGATTAATGAATTATACGGCAAAAGGTGAACCGATTGTTGTCAACAGAAGAAATTTAAAGTCTATAAGAAGCGTCATAACTAAAAATAAAGGTAAGTTTTTCTTTGTTTTTCTCATTCGTTTGTTTTTTAACGGTGAAAATTATCCACGTGGAAAAACTCATGTTAATCGTCAATATGATAATAATAATTATATTAGTAATTTTCGTTTCCCCGCCCCCCCCCCCTCTTACTAAATTTTATTCATGAGTGAACGCGATTTCTTAGTCATTTGTTAACTTAAAGCAAAATGAATTAACTTTTCAGAGAAATTTTTTTTTTTTTTTTAAATAAATCGTGGGGGTGGTCAAGTTTACGATTATTCACTCTATTTTTTTTTTTTTTTACGTACCTCGTTTAAATTTTAATAATAATAATAATAATTTTTAACTTACCCCTTACTTGTCTCTGACTCTCTTTTCCCGTAGGATTCCTCTTTCCCTTTTTCCATCCTTTTCACGGTCCCTGGAACTAAAAAAAAACAAAAAAAAATGATAACGACAGCAAAAAAAAAATTTAATTTTAATTTATTTTATACACATTCATAAACACATAATAGGTTTAATTTGTTAATTAATGTTTTTTTTTCTAGTTTTGTTACGTCCACGCTCGGTAATTTTTATTACTTTTTACATAATATTTTATGTTGATTTTGTTGAAAAACACAGACAGAGACGCATGTTAACAATAGCAAAAATAAACGATTAGGTTTTGCGGTCATTTAATAATAATAATAATAATAATAATAAAGAAGACATGATTATAAATAAAATTTTATTCGGTCGGTTGCACTCTTTTTTTGCAAAATTATACTTTTAAAAATTATTATCAAAAGTTATGAATGAATGAATGAATGAATGAGAGACTGAGTAATGAATTATATTTTTGCAGTCATTCATTAGTCAGGTTTCTTTAAATTTATATTATTAATCACGCATTGCAGGTACTTGCAACAACAACGTGTGAATAAAAAAAAAAAAATTTTCATTTTCGATCCTTTTAACGCCTTCGCCTAATTTTTTTTTTATCATCGATAATCGATCAATTAAAATTAAATCGATATATTTTTTTTCTCCCCCCTCTCCCCCCTTACCTTTCCCGGAAATTATAGAAATTCCAAGTTTTTTATTATTTTTTCATTCATGTCAATCAACAAAAAAAAAAAAAAGAAAAAAGTTTTTGTTTTAGTCATCTCTTAAACACCTACTTAAAACAACCTGTTCGTCAGGTGTATAATAATAATAATAATAATTTTGTGCAATCACTTGAAATTTCTTATTTGGAAAATTTAACAAATCAAGCGCCACATAGAGAGAGTATGAGAAAAAAATTTTTTTTTGGTGAGAATTTTTTTTTTTTTTTTAAATCAAAAAAAATTCCCATAAAGTTTAAAATACAATAATAAAAGGAGGAGGGGAAGGAAAAGAGAAAAAGAGAAAGAGAGAGAGAGAAAGAAAAAAAACATATAAAATTCAATTTGTTTGACTTATTTTACACACGCACACACACACACAACAAAAAAAAAACATTTCACGTTTCAATAACAAAGACTAAATTAATTTAATTAATTAAAGGTTATAATTAAGGTTATTAATTAAACTAATTAACTTTAAATTTTATTATTGTTTTTTACGTACGTAGCAGACGATAATAAAAAAATTTTTTTTTTTTTTTAAATGGCGGATTAGTTGAAATATTTATTGAATATGGTTTTCACAACAAAAAAAAAATTTATTTTTAACTTTTTTTTTTTTGTTTTTCATTTTTCTTTTCAAAATTTACACCGTTTTCCCCTCCCCCTCCCCCTTTTTTTCCGAGATACGAGCAATGAGAAAATTATATTTAATTAACGATGATTCAATTAATAATAATAATAATTATTATTATTATTTCGATTGTGATATAAGGAAAACCCTTAGGATTCGTTCTTTTATTATTATTATTATTATTATTATAACAAAGTGAAAAATGCCAAATACCAGATATATATATAGAGAAAAAAAATATAGTTAGACTAAATATTTACTTATGATAAATTTCCGGATTATATTTTTAGTTTTATACAAAACTAAAAAAAAAAAAAAAAAAAAACTAATTAATATTAGTCAAACGCTCGAGCGCGCAAAAAAAAAAAAAGAAAATTTTTTTTAAAATTAATTTTTTATCTGTCAAAAAATTTTTACATAATAAATTAAAACATTATATGAAAATCGAAACGTCAGTTTAACTAAAAAACAACAAATAATTAATAAAAACGGGAGAAAGGCAACAAAAAATTATTATTATTATTATTATTATTATTATTATTATTATTAATATTTAGATAATCGTTTCGTTGCTAGAATAATAAAATTAAACAAACTATAAAAAAACTTTTTATAAAAAAAAAAGAAAATTTTTTTTTTTTTCTTTTCGCTTTCATTTGCCAATTATTATATACGGAATTAAACAAAAAAAAATGTCGTCGTCGTCGTCTGCTGTAATAATAATAATAATAAATATTTTTTTTTCTCTTTTCGACAACAACAACAACAACAGGTTTTTTTTTTTTTTTTTTTTAATATTTAAATTTTTTTAATTTTTCTTTATCGTTCGTGTCAAATCGTTCGAATGTATTTTGCTCCGGTTCAAGTGTTTTTTTTTCTTCTGCTATTACGCGTAGCAAAATTAAAATTTTTAAATATTTTAAACCGACCGTTCGACCGTTCATTTCATTCACAAAAAAAAAAAATTTGATAAGAATGATAACAACAACAACAACAACACGTTCGCGCCTTTTTTTTTCTTTAAACGCATTATATAAAAACGAAAAGGTTCATACTTATTATATCCGTATCACTTTTTTTTTTTAAATTTTATTGTCTATAACTATAATTTACTATATCGCTATAACTATTATTATTATTATTATAAATTTATGTTTAAATGATTCTAATAACAAAAAATTTATTTCATAACGTAGGCGGTTTTTTTAAAATATAAATTTATTATTATACATTATTAAATTCATATATTATTATTATTATTAAGTTAATAATGTTTTTACTATTATTATTATTATTACAAGAGATTAATAAGATTTTATTGATATGATTCGTTCGTCGATGCGTACATAATATTAAATACGTTTTGTTTTTTTTTTTTTCTTAATTATTTTTGTTTTGTTTTTTTTTTTTTCGCCATATTATCGACCCAATTTATGTATTCATTTATTTATTTATTTAATTAATTGGCATCAAATCTTTTTTTATTTATCGTAAACTGAATCTTTTCATTTATTTATTTATTTATTTTATTTTTTTCGCGTTATCGGATTGTGCTTAATTTTCCATGACATTTTCCTGCTCTAAATATTCTGGACGCTCCCAATCCTCCGGTTTCCGACATTGTTTACCTAGTTCACCTTGCTCCCCTCCCCTCTTTCGCCCCCTTTCCCTTCCCCTCCCATCCCATCCCCCCACTCTCTCTCTCACTGTCTCTCTCTTTACCAGTTTTTTTTTTTTTTTTAAATTTTACGAAAAAAAAAAAAGAGAAAAGAAAAATTATATAAAATATTATCATTATCATTGTTTAAAGTCGTGTGTGCGTGTGCGTGTGTGGTTATACCTGAAATCCTGAAAAATTTGATCGTTGTGATTAAATATTTTAAATATACGATCATCTCTCGATCGATCCCGCGTTAATAAATTAATTTTTATTTTTTTTTTGTTTTTGTTGTTATTTTGAATTTTAATTCGCGCCTTTTTTATTTTTAAATGATTAATTTATCTTTTTTTTTTACGTTTTTCCAATTTTTTTACGTTTTAACGTGTTTAAACAAAAAAAAAAAACGATTTGACGACGTTTTACAATCGATTTAATAAATAATATTAAAAGGAAACGATTAAATGACGTCATTTCCGGTTTTTGAAACGATAATAATTTTTCGTTTAGACAACCGTTGAAAATTATTCAGGTACGAATAAAAAAAAAATTTAAATGGCGGTTTTTTTTTGTTGCGTGCGCCGAAAAAATGATTTAAATTTTTAATTAAAAATTTATTCTTTCCCCTCCCTTCTACCCCCCGTAATAATTAATAGTTACATAATGTGAAGATTTTTGTTTTGTTTTTTTGCGTTTAAAGTAAAATAAAATTATTATTATTATTATTTCCCTGCAGGTGAGTTCACGAAAAAAAAAAAAAAAAAACAACTCAATGTTGTCCTTGTCTTTATTAACGATAATAAAATATTATTTATTTATTTATTAAAAAAAAAGTCTCTGTTATTTGTCAGAATGTCCAAATTGTCAAAAAAAAAAAAAAAAAAGAAAAAAAAAGTGCGTCAATTTTTCCAATATACGACATTTTTTATAATTTGACACTGTGGAAAACTATAAGCCTAAAGGCACGTTTGACATTTATGGTTGTTTGACATTTTTGTTGTTATACTGCCCTGATCGCTGACATTATTTTTCTTTTTTTTTTTTTAATGACACGTTTTTATTGATTGATTAAACCGAAAAATATTATCAGGGTTTTTTTGTTTTTTTTACTCATTTTGGTATCAGGTGACCTTAAAAAAAGAAAATTTTTTTTTTAGAGTGTGTGTTTGTTGCATAATAAAATTATTTTTGGAAGGTAAATAAAGAGAAAAGATGATATTGTAAAAGGAAAAGTGTTTTTATCAAGATGCTGTGAGTTAGAGAGTGAGGGGGGAGGAGGGAATTTTTTTAACTCAACGTATGCCAAATATTAAAAAAATTTTTTAAAACGAAATAAAAAAGGAGTCAAGTAACTCCCAAAGATTTATTATCACTTTCATAATTAAGCGTATGTGAATAAAAAAAAGAAAATTTGGGGGGCGGGTTGTGTTAAAAACAAAAAACTTTTCAAGAGTCTTATAGATAGACTTGTTAAGAGATTATAAAAAAAAAAAAAAAATTTCATTTTCGAACTATCAAATCGTGTTCCCATCATGAAAATGATGTTCTCTTATTCTCCTGTCGTTTCGTTAGACAGGAGAAAATACGATTTTTGGCAAAATCTCAATTCTATCAGACAAAATGAATCAGTGTGGTTTCGAAATCATTGCCAAATAATATAAATTGATTATTTTATCAATTATTTTTTTATTTAAAACTAAATCATTTTATATATATTTGTTTTTTAAAATTTTCTTCTTCTTTTTCTTTTTCTTTTTCTTCTTCATCTTTTTTTTTTTTTTTTAATGTAACGTTAAATGACATAATCCATCAATTATTATGATGACCAATTTGCCATCTTTTTAAATCACTTTTTGAATGCATTCGACGAAAAAAAAAAATAGAGACGAACACCTCGGAAATTTTTATTTTTGATATTTCGGGAATGAAAAAAATAAAAAGAGAGAGAAAGAGAAAGAGAGAGAGAGAAAGCAAAACACTTTTCACTACAGGAAAAAAACAAATTCGAATCGGGGCGAAAGAAAAAACAAGTTTTGATACCTACTAACCGTTTAAACGGCAGCAAAACAAGTTAAGCGCGGGTGTTGCTATTAAAAAAAAAATTTTTTTTTTTTAAACATTTACCATCGGCTATAAGTCAATAAATGAATTATTATTATTATTTTAACCGCAAACGTACAAAAAACAAAAACGCATCACGACTTTAAAAACAGTGGCGTAACTAACCGTTTCCGCCGTCTATTTTACTTAATAATAATATTGAGCTACTTATTTTTTATAAATAT